GATTTGACTCTCCACAGCTATGACATATTACGCACTCACGCACAAATCACTTAATCACATGATCACAAGGGTCAGCAGCAGAGACCTGGTGTTGTTACCCAGGTGGAAATGCTACGCTGGTGAGTAGTAGGCTACTAGCTTAAGCAGGGATAATCTGATTTGTTTCACTGACTGCAGCCCTCTGGCCTCCACCTCTCCGCAGAGGATCATACACCCCCCCCCCGGCCATTAAAGATGTGCGAGGACACACACACAGACTGATGATCCTTTCACAGCTTCTTAACATGACACATGTGCGCTTGCTCAAAGTGCTGATCCATTTTGTTTCATGTGATGCGATTGACGTGAAAAGTAACTAAATGCCTGTAGCTCATCAGTGTCACCAACATACGCAGCATCACTTAAGGCAGAAAATAAATGTAAGAAGGACAACTAGAATAAACATGACATAAATGAGTCACCCACAGCATCACCACAGCAATTAAGCACAGTTTGAACCAATGAAAATCAAAACCCATGCCTACAACCTAACCCACTATAATCCAATTTATACTCAACCTCCACACAACAGCTGGACTGCCTGTGTACTACCCGCAGGGAGGTACTTACCATATACACACTCAAAATACCATCACCTCACAGGACAGGCTCTCAAATAACTGTTGAAAATAACAAAGTGGCCACCTTTAACATTGGAAAAAAATATTTATCTGAGTGACAATTGCTGATACCATCTGTAACACTTTCTGTAAAAGCCGCTCCCATAAACACACCATGTAAACACTGTGATGCTTTTAAATGGGCCGAACACTGAAGCACAGAGGGATCCTCCCTCTTTGGCTCTGTAGTGGTTTCGCTCACACGCAGATAGTCTAACTTTGCTGTGTAAATTCATTAACTTGCCATATTTCTTTGTGCGTATGCGTCTCTGGCTTTATGGCTATTTAGCTGTTGATCGTCATGGCGCCACCACAGCACCACATAGCTGAACTGCACAAGGCCGTGCACATCCACTGTAAACCTGAAGTGATTGTGTTTACATTCTTTCATTCACTTTGTGATAGAAAGAGACAAATTGCTGTAGTGGTAGAATTACTCAGATTATTTACTTCAGTAAAAGTAGCAAGGCTGCATTTCAAATGATATTCCAACATTGTAAAAAGATGTATTCCGTAGAAATCTTGCTTCACCTTCATAGGTCAATATTATCTGCTAAATTGACTTATGGTTATAAAACTTTGTTTTGCAGAAAATAATCCCCTATGTTGTATAAAGGACAGAATATTTATTGATGCATCAATATAGCAGTTGACAGTCATGTTCTCTGGAGAATCTTTGCACAATTGGGTCCGGACTTTCTCTGGAAATTGAATTTCACATGTGAACAATATAGATTCAGGTCAGATCTCCTGTTGTTTTCCCACATGTGCTCACTCTGACTTTCAGAGTTTTTACCAGGGTGCTGGCAGGAAAAACTCTGGAGAATGTCTGGAGCCTCTGACTCAGACATTTGCTTTCTCACATACAGCCTGTCCAAATAGTTATTCGGAGTTCAGTGCATGCCTGAAAGCAGCTTATGTAAGCACCATTTACCTGCTGTAGTTGGTCAAGCGAGCTTTGCCTTCTGTATTCAGTTAGGTAGTTTAGTCCAATGGTTCCTGTGTGTACACCAGAGGCTTCAAGTTTTCACATCACACATGTAGTTAAAACTTGTCAATATCAAATAGTCTGCATGATCAACTAGAAAGGTTTAAGTTGAGCACAGAGAATTGATGTGTAAGGCAGATTAATGTGGAAACAGATTATTTTAATATCAAACTTTGTGGACACATCATTCTGCACAGTAATGGTCAAACATGGAGATGGAGCAGCAATAAGCAATAAACAAACCCACTTTCTGTGGAGTGGAGGCAGACGTTAAACTTGCTCCACATTGCCTTCACAATCAACAGCATCTAAGTATAAACAAGTGGAGGAATACTCATATAGCCCCAGATGACCCGTCACAGCCTTGTGGTGTCAAGTAGCCACCATAGCCCTGATGTGTAAGCACATTTCTGAAGAGGTGTGGCAGCTGATGTACACGTCACTTCCACCAAGAGTAAATCCACCTGTACTCTGTCACACGGTGCCTTCTAGTCTGTTGTATGAAGTCCTTATTAAAGCAATACATACAAGAGGGGGATTTTCTTCTGTTCTCTCTCTTTGGGAACCAGACAGTAATGACATTAAAATAATGGGATGGAATTTAAAATAGATGGCTGGTACTTCTAAATCTTTACAGGAGAGAGTGCACCACAGATTTTAGGAAAGGTAGGGGGGAAGGGAAACGCTCACTAATCCACCACATTCTTGTCAGGGGTCCGAGTCTGAATTCAGGCAGGCTTCAATGCCATGCACTGCGATAGCAGGGGTTGCAAAAGGCTGAGGTAATTGGATTGGAATACGGCATTGGGTGTCAGACAACAAAAGATATCCATCTCTCTCATGGCCGTTCAGCTCTTTTGTTGGCAGCTGGAATTTATCTGGTCATTCACTCCACTCTTCCAAGCCCGACGAGGACAGAAGAACAGGAGCAGGCCACCAGGACCGGATCAGTCTGGTGGTCTTGCATGTGGGCTGGTGGAGTCAGAGTGCCTGTGCAGTCTGTGTGTGAGAATGTGTGAACCATGGATCCCCCAAAGCCCAGGGGTCATTTGTGTGATCATTACCATAATCACATTAAGGCTGCAGGAGATTAGCACCATGGCCTCAGAGGAGAAACCCTGTCTGTACTCCATGACAACTATAGACCAGCGTGTTCACTGTTGCCTATAAGCATGTAGGCAACAGCGAACACGCTGCTTGGATACCTATTAGCTGTACGATTAGCATGGAAGGTGGCAGTCAAGTGGTAGAGATGCAGTAAGAAAGGAGACATCCTTTCTTGCCTAAATACGGTGTTTTGTGAAAAAGACACGTTTCATTTAATATGTGTTGACATTTTGGAATGTTTCTGTGAATGTCTGACTTGAACAAAATGAATAAAACACATTTTGGTGTTAACTGGTGTTAAACTAACTCCAACATCAAACAGTTTCCCTCAAAACCAAAAGCACAATGTCAAAGTGATTGTTTTCTCAATTAGAACGGTCCAATTGGTTCACATATCTCATGGTTGCTTTTCAATGAACTTAAGTTCCACAACTGCTCTCCCCCTCCTCAGTCATCATCACAACACAAGCATCACCTCTGGGCAGGTCAAGAGGGCACAGGAGACGGGATCCCGTCTCACCCCCACCCCCTCGCCCCAAAACCATCTAAAATCTCTATTTTGGCGTTTGCCATCAAGGCAAAAAAAGAGAAATGCTCCCTAAGGTTAAAAACGTCTCCAATTAACCCTAATTACACAGAGAGAGCATTTCAGCGAGCCCTGTAACCTGAGATGTCTATCAGTTCAGCGACTGCGGCAGGCGGGGAGGAAGCTGTACCTTTCATCTTGAAGTTCAACCACAGGAAACGTGACATCTGAATATTGACAGCGGTGATCTGAGACGGTGGAAGTTGCACACAGAAACGTCCCTGTTTGACTGTGAATGCATACAAGCCAACACAACCACCTACTAATACACCTGTTAAACTCTTTCAAGCCAGATACTAGAGGAATTTTGGGACTATCTCTGTAGAAGTTACATCTTTGTGTCACTGTGGCATCCAAACTAAAGATAACCTTTGCTGCCTCAGGGGGAAAAAAGTCAACTGGACCTTAGCTACTTGTACGGTTTTAACAAAAATAGTAAAGAAAATTCCTCACTGCTTATCAGGTTGAAACACATACAGGTGAGACGTGTGACACCCTCATAAATGGCTATAAAGTGTGATGGTGAAACGTTATGCAGTAACTCATTGATAACACTCCTCTTTCTGCAATGCCGCGGTTCCCAACTGTGTTTCCTTGATTGTGACCCATTGAATGACCTGTGTAATTGGTCCTCACAAATCACTAACCACAGGGGTGGTGTGGGTTGGGGGTGGGCGGAGGTTCTCATCTTCTCATAGTAGTCACTGATCCACTTCACAGATTACCTTCTCGCAGCGATACACCTGGTCGCAGTTGCCCTCCGACACCATAGGGATGGGGGAATAACGTCTCTCAGCAGTCTGTCAGTCTGGTCCGCAGCGGCTTCACTCACACTTTTATGTGTTAACATAAACTGGATGTTGATTGTTGGAAGCAGAATTACACTGCAAGCCATTTGGAATGTGGGACAATCCTCAAGTAGGCATAAAACTTTCAGGGCTGCCACTCTGGGGCACTGTTGTGTGCACTCCAGATACCATGATGTTGTTAACTTTCACACTCAAAGAATTCATCTGATTTTCACAAGATCAAAATGTAAAACTAATTAATAAGAAAAAAAACCATGCTGGAATTGTGTTGCTGTTCAATATTTACGCCTCTGGAATTCAATGCTCTTTGTCCAAGGCTTTCATTACATGTTGAAAGATGTCTATCATACCGTGCATTTAACAAAATGCCCTTGACTCAGCTACTGGCCTTGATGCAAGATCAGTTTTATAATCCGAGATGATTTAATACCTTACACGTTGGCACAAATGTAGAGGAGAGTAAAAGCTGAGCTGGGTCTGCCCACCTTTTTAAACTGACATAAATCTTTATGGGGTAAAATAATAGTATAAATTGTGGCGAGCTGAGTATGCTACTAATGCAGGACGCAGGAAGATAAGGTCTCCTGAAGGAGGGGGGAGGAATAAATTGATGCTTGTCTGAAAATATAATTCAGTTATGTTTTGGTTTGTGGTTTGCAATGACTTATGATTATCAATGTGACTGCAGGCCATGGTTTATTATTTTCCAACACATCTCAACACTGCCAAAGAGTCCTTGTGAGCGGAGTAGAGTATGTGATTATCCTGCTATCTGGAGAGAGGGGCGGGCTCAGTGCGCTCTGCTCATGAATATGGAGGCACATGGCTACGGGGGGACACTCCCCTCCATGTTGAACTTGTGTAGCCAGCTCCAGCTCGGACCAGCAGTCAGTCAGTCAGTCAGTCAGCAGTGGGTTCGGCTGCCGCATGGCTACTGTGTAAACTTTTTCCCCCAGCAACAAGTGGAAGCCGCGGGATAAAGAAGGAGAAGAAGCAGACGCTCGGAGAGGCTGCGGGACAACAACTAGGAAGAGGTCTCCTCTATGAATGTGGAACCTGCGCTCCGCTGATCAGTGTCGTTCCCCACTCGTGCATGTTCAAACCAGAGGAGAGCTCTGGTGCCGTGTGTCGGCCAGACGACTAGTACAATCGAGTGGCAACAGCAGTCCGGAGGCATGATTTTGAGACGGGGCTCGGTGGTCGCTGCCTTTTTGCTGTGCTTTCTAGCCAAGGTATGTGGACTGTAGTGCAGAGAAAATAGCGGGGAGGGTCCGCTGTCTGGATGTACTTTGATTTACATGCGTGTTCGCGTTATATGTATGTGCGCAAACATAACATGGAACCATGCCTCATGCGTAATTGTGCCACGCAGTTAAAACTCCACAACAGCTCAAGTTTTTTTGAATACTGTTTGAAACTTTTTTTTATTGTTCCTTGAAAGTTTTCCTTTACGATCACCCTCTCTGTCTCCCAACAGGTGTCCCAGGGAACTGGACAATTCGAGTTGCAAATCTTATCCATGCACAATGTGAACGGAGAGTTGCTGAGCGGCATGTGTTGTGACGGCGCGCGGAACATGGGGGATAGAAAGTGCACGCGGGACGAGTGCGATACGTTTTTTAAAGTTTGCCTGAAGGAATACCAGTCGAGGGTCTCTGCTGCGGGCCCCTGCAGCTTCGGAATGGTATCTACGCCCGTCCTGGGAGGGAATACCTTTTCTTTCAAGAGCTCTGTGAGGAATGACAAATCCCGGATAGTTTTGCCCTTCAGTTTTGCCTGGCCGGTGAGTTTGTGCGCTTCCAGACCCCGCTTCTCCAAAAAAAAAAAAAAAAAAAGGGGAGGGGGGGATGAAGGAAAAGAGGGGAAAATGTCTGTTTTCAGGGCAATTCTGTGCAATTACTGTCCGTCAGTCATTTCAGAAAGCACAACAAGCAAAGAATGTGTTTCTCTCTTGGTTGTTGAATTATCCTCTTGAGGAAGGACCCCCTGGTCTCCTCATTATCTGCGCCAATTAACCAGCTGCAGGTATTTTTCTCCATCAGACCCAGAGCTGTCCATTCTGTCTAAATAATCTCAGTGTTAAAACTACTTTGCATGCTTAGTCATCAGAAAACCTCGGCTTTCAGAAATGGACCTTAAATTATGAGCTGCAGTTTGCAAACCCACCAAAATTAATAAAAGAAACATTTAAAGAGAGAGGTACTTTTTTTTGTTTATTCCCCTGTTTGAAAACGTCACTATCACATACAAATCAATTGGGTGCAACTTAGTACAATGCCTCTTGAATATGTTCCCTTGTATTTTCCCCTCAACTGACATGATTGAACAGATAAAAAGTTGGATGAGTTGCATTTTCAGATTTCTCCTCCTGTGCCTCCCCGGCAGCTGCTCATGTTGCACGGTGCACTTTCTCCACAGTGAAAAAAACCCCTTTCTGGTTTCCTCCAGTGTCAGCTCTCTGTTCACAGAGTAAATAAATGGGCCTGACAGGCCTGTGGGAGTGTTGTAGCCCTGTGAGAGATATGATTTGTCAGGCTTGGAGCAACATTTCGGTGTTGTGCAAAAAAGTAGGGCTGCAGCACAGACTGACTGGCCCCACAGCTTGGCCCACAAACTCCTCCACTGTGCCTTATGGGTGAAAGGCACAGTCTGCTGGTATGTGTGTGTCCAATTACATCAAGGCTATTTTTACCTCAATCTTGATGGAAGTTGTTGCGCTGTGATGCCTCGAACATTCAAATTGAGTGAAATAACTGGAAGATGGTGCACGGTTTCCTGTCATGTACGTTTCACTCTCTGTCTCTCTCTCTCTCTCTCTCTCTCTCTCTCTCTCTCTCTCTGTGTGTGTGTGTGTACCTGTAGGGCAGAGCAGTGAGTGTGGATGTTTGTTTTCTCTCCTGATAACCAGTTAAACTGTTTTCTCAGTATGCAATTTGATATTCTCTGTATTTTTTTTTATTTGCACTCCACTTACACACTGGCGCCTCACACTTTTTTTTTTTTTGAAGACAAAGGTTTCTGTTTATGCTCATACTATGGCAACACTAGGTTGGCATGAATGCTCTGGGCCAGATGGGTTTCATCTTACTGTTTGAAAACCATTAAACTGGAAAACAACACTTATTGACATTGAAATCAAAACTTGTACCATTACAGGTTTGAGGACAGGACTCTTCTCCCAAAATGTCCTTGAACCACTGAAGGAAAGTCTTGTCATGTTAGATACCAGAACCAATCCAGTGGAACTTGTAGAAAATGAACAATGATTTTTTTTCTGTACAGTCAATGGATCCACTAAGACACATTTTTGGATTAACACATCTTAATACAAGCGAAGGTCCCAGGATGAGATCTGTGAAAGGCCAGAGTGGCTCGTTCGATTCTCTCCTCCTTCACTTGAAGTGCTTTACTTCAGTGCACATGAACAATCGTCAGGTTAGGTATGATATCACTCTTTGTCCTGTTCATAAGTTGATTGGCTGTTGTGGACAGATGGCAGTGTGGTGCAACTGGGTTGTTGGGTACTCTGAGTTCATGAAGCCCCCCCAGCCCCCCTCCCTCCCTCCCTCCCTCCCCATCCTCTCTTGTGAGCTGCATGAAGTTGGCCTCTTGTCCTGGCCAAGGGCTTTGTTTAAGTCACGCTCGGTTGGACCCCAGGCATTTCATCGCTTTAACCTTGCCACCCACAGTAACTGCTGCACTTAATGAGGCTACACAGATGTGCTTAGTTCAGGTAGGGCGAGAGCCCTGCGTCCGGCTGAATGCCATCGGCCGGGCATCTTTTAACATGAGCGCGTCTGTGTTTTTAGAGCGGCCAATGGATCCCACCAGTGAGGCGACCCAGGTCCTCACAGTGTATCAAGCAGGGACAATGGTGTGCCCTCGGTGACTACAGTGAGGATTACGGAGCATAATAGAGGCTGTGCAGCTGTAATGCCAGTGCAGGGCAAGCAACAGGAAGCAGTTGTAGTAGGCTCAGCAGCGATGAAGTTTGCTCTCAGGCAAACTGTTGCCTTGTCTCTGGCCACCTCAGCAAGTTTTCTCATGTTCCACCTATTTAATAAAAAAAAAAAAAAAAAAAAGAGAGGCCCCTCTTTTTTTCTTTTTTTAAACTGAAGCAGTTCTATTCTTTTATGTAAAATTGAGGATCTGTGAGCAGTAATCTGCTGGATTGCTAGTGTTGCCCCTCTTTGAGCTATTCCTCACCTTTCATCTGGAGCTTAAATTGATCTGACTCCTCATTGTTCTCACATCAGATTTAATTATGCCTATATTTTCATAGCAATATATTTCCTCTATCTCACACTGAACACAGTGCTGGCAGGTCCTCTGTGACCTGGGATGTGCTTGCATGATTGATTGATTTGACGACAAGTCAAAGCAGTCTGACAAACTGATCAGGTGAGTCGCAGAACAATAGTCCGCCTTGTCGTTTTGCGTGTTGACGGCAGCTGCAGGAGTGATGACGTTTATATCGCATCGCATACTCTGCTGTGGCAGTTAAGTGCAAATTATTTTGATAAAAAGAAAAGAGAAATGTTTTCTTTTCCTCACCCCACTTCACCCTGTCTTACTTTAACAAGGGGTTTTCAGTGTTTCAGTGTCATGTTACACGAGGGCTTCTAATGCTTTGCTGCTTATCAGTTGAGTAAAGCTTTATGGAAATGTGACATGCATTGAAAATACTTTAAAATGGGATCCACTGACTTGTTTTTGTTTCTCTTACTGGTGTGTGACCCTTATAAAAACACAGATGACTGGTTGCTTGTTCAGTTAAATGCTATATATGAATTTCATTCCTGCTCCCATGTTTTGATCTTGTTTGACTTGCAATGGATCCAAAATCTGTTCGCACTATCTCTTGTTTTCTTTGGCAAAAGATGAGATTCTTTCATTGGGGCGAGGTTCTGTTGAATCGTGGGCTCATGCACCTTTACAAGATATTTTAATGAGCTCTTGATTGTACAACATTTGTTGTGACAAACTCAAACTCCTTGTTGTGATGAAAATCTCCTGGCAAACACCACGTTCCTTCCTCCCAGTCCATCAGTGAACTCAGTGGCTTTTGAAGGCGATTGTTTGAGTTGTCTTTTCCTGACCGGGTCTCGGGTTTATGGCAAACATGGTGTGTTACTTACACGTCTCAATCATCGTGTCGATCTCATTTTGATACTATTGAAGTGATTGACTCAGGAAAACTGATACAGAAGGTCAACATCTCTTTTGACTGGGCTGTTTACATTTCCTCTGTGCTGAGTGGAGGCCGTGACCAGTCTAATCTGTTGTGCCTTGCCTTTTTTTTTTTTTTTTAGACCTTTGGCTTTAGCGTGTTTTTCCATGAGACATACTTCTCCTTTATTTTGTCAGATTTCCTCGTAATGATACATCAGATGGCTCAGTTTTCAGACTAGGGCAGGCTGATAAGCCTTTGTGTCTGTGTGTGTTGGGAAAATTCCCCTATTGAGAGAATTCAGTAGTGTTCTTTGGCCAGTCATTGTGTTTCGAACTGGAATGATCTTTATCGCTTATGTTACTTGTCTGTTGGACAGTGTCTACTTGGCCAGGAAAGATAAGAAGACATATGGCCACACTTATTGCACTTGGATGTGTGTGTTAGTGTCTGTGTGTGTGTGTGTGTGTGTGTGAGAGAGAGAGAGAGTGCTCTGTAGTTCAAAGAGAAGTTGTGAGTCAGCTGGGAGCCTGGGAAAAGTGAACCTGGCAGTGGCAGACGGTTCCAAGCTGATAACCACTGAGGAGTTATGGGGTGTTTGTGAATAAGGAGTCAGGCGGTATCTCAGTTTCTGGGAGCAGTTATTTGCTCTGGAACTAAACATCCCAATAATGGTGAGGCTACTAGTTAAATTGAGCCATTATGACATTTTACTTGTGCAGTTATTGATGCAGGAGTCTGTGTGCCAAGACTTTCCTTGTGGGCCACTATCATGTGAATGCATGACAAATAGATAAATCATCTTCTGATGATGATGATGATTATGATCACAGCACTGCAGTAGTTCCCGTGTTGAGGCAAGTCCAAATGGTGCAAGATATGGGTGTGTAAATCTGTCTGGAATCAGCCAATAACTTTATGCAACACTGTGCGGACAACAGTCCACCACAAAGTGTTTTAATGATTGTTTATTTCCACACTAGTCCTTGAAAGTGAAGATGTGTTGTGTAGCAGGTAGATCATGCTTGTTGTTTCTCCCTAATGTAACCACAGGATAATGTGCTGTCCTTGTTTTGAGAGGTCAGTGAAATGTGATCAGTAGATTACAAATGCTTAACTACTTCTCATATTAGTCATATCAACGTCAATTTACTGTTGCAATGGTGACAAATTAAAGGTTAGGAAACTGATGTAGTCCTCTGCCCACATGATCAGTAATCTTGCATTTGAGTTCCTGTTTTCAGGATGAACTCACCACTGGTACATTGATGTGTCACAAATGTGTATGTTTTTGGTTGTTGTCCCAAACAAGAATGTTTCAAGAGTCCATGTGGAAGTGCAGTTGGAAATGATGCATTCAAATGCAGATGCACAATCTGGAAAAACACCAACATGCCACAGCTTATTGCTAAAAGAGAATTTGACTCTTGTACTCAGTGTTAATATATAGTTGTAATTGTTGTAGTAAAAGAAGATTAGGTATCACATTACCACTGACTCATGTTCCATTTCAAGTGATTGCAGCCCATTGTGAGTCAGAATACACTGTCCAGCCTGCATCTCAAATAATAGCTGCCCTGATTGCTGTGAAATACTGGCACAGGATGAGACAAGATAGCTCCGGGAAAGATTGAAAGTTGAATTGACAAAACAAGGTAAAGCTTCAGGACTGAGTCATCTCCCTTTCTTTCTTTCTATGGGAAGTGAACGGGGGGTTTCCTTTCAAGCAGCTTTGTTTACCATGAAGTCATGGCAGTAAAGCAGGAACATAGCAGCGATGCAGAATTTCTGAAATGCCTCCAAGCAGCACTGCTAGGGGCGAGCGTGTGTGAATATAACAAGTAGGTGTTTCTAGTGGATGCTCGAACACTGTAAGTGGATTAGACTTTCTCACAATCGTGGACTTTCTCTCCCTAGTTCGCCGTGCACACTCGCAGATGCATTGTTCCTTCCCTCATGACTGTGGCACAGGAGGCTGTGAGTGTGTAAGCTGATATTGGTGTGAGCGCTAAAGACCCTGAATCAGACAAAGCGTTTTTTGGGAGTGCTGAAATCAAGACAGGCCCTCCAGAGTGTAGCACTCATTCACTAATATCCTCACTCAGTCTCTCTCCTGTCCTGTAAATTTGTTTTGCCTAACCATTAATCACATTCACTTCTTTTTTGGGGTCTCGCCTGAAAAAGAGGTTTCATAGCACGTTTTCAGAGGTTTATAAATTAGCATGAAATTGACAATCCCTTATACATTGCAAAACAAAACCCACTGTGTTTTCTCAGAACATGGGAAATCATCCACTGCCTAAACTTGCCACATTTTCTAAATATGTGGAAAAAACTGTATTTGGAAAAAGCAGTTTCTAAGGAGAGCAAGTTAACATGGCTGAGATGAAGACATATTTTTGGCATTGCAGGGTGAAGTATGCTTTTCTTTGTGCTATTCTTTTTTTTTTTTTTTCTTTTTAAATTATTTTTAAACTTTTTAAAGTTATTACTCGAGAGTCTGTCCTCTGCGGGCTCGCTGTTTTAGGCTCTTTTTTTCTGACGCCCCCCTGCTGGGTGTCCAGGTAGAACACACCGCAAGTGTCTGTCCACACTATCTTCAGTGTCTTAATTGCTGGGAAGCAGAGACCTCTGCCCCACCACAAGCTTATCCTCACTTCAGATCAACAGGACCATTGTTGTAAGTTAGCAGCTTCTGTATTAGGTCTCTTTGTAAACTAACTCACTGAGAGGGAGATGAAACCTCTGTTTTTTTTCCTGAGGCCTAAACAAGGGAAATGTGTACTTCCCCGTGCTTATTTTACATCAAACCTGACTGTTGATAAGGTGATGTATGTTTATGTGATACTTGTTAAAAGGGAAACCCCTGCAGGAACCCCAGACAGTTAGTTTTACATGGTTGCTAACAAACAAAGTCTCTATCAACCATTCTGTTCTCATTTACAAAACATTTATCACTTAATCATTGAATGACTTTATGATCCTGTGATTGCTTGATGATTCCGTTCTTGGCTAACACTGCTTGTGTCTTTGTCTTGTCTTCCTCAGAGGTCCTACACTTTGATAGTGGAAGCCTTGGACTTCAGCAATGAAACCAGTGGTGAGTACTGAGCATGCCTTCCCCTCTCTTTTCTTTCTCCCCTTCCCTCCCTCAAGGCATCATCTGCATGGAAGGAGTTGTGTTGAGTCAGGAAAAAGTAGTTATTCTTCCCGAACCTCCTGTCTTTTTCCACATGGTCCGCTGGTGGTGTGTGTCTGTGTGCAGAAAGTGTGTTGGCAGGTGCCTGTAAGGTGGGAGATTCATGGGGAAGAAGCAAAAGTGGGGACAGGGCAGACAGTGGTGGGGGTTAGACAGGGAGAACGTGTGGTGAGGTAGAGGACTATGAAAATGTTTTCGTTGGGGGGGATGACTGATGGCAGGTGCTGCCAGCCGGGGTCAGGGTCACACTGTCTCACTGTCACTGAGGCGTGAAACACAGAGTTCATCTGGCCGCCCAGCACCGCCACTGTAACCTGCCCGCCGGCACAATGTGGGGGGGCAGAGGCCTCTGAGCTACACTGTCCCACAGCTTAAAGTTACCTCTTGCACAGGTGGGCTGAGCCCAGAGCATGTGCAGTGAAGCAAATGTCTGTCAGACTGTGGCTGGTGGGGCTTAAATGTGGTGGTGGATCTAAATCCTGGTTACCTGGTTTGGTTTCTTTGTTAACTTTGTGGGGTTTCTGCTGGTTGGTGCTCGGACTGACTACGGCTCGATTCCAGCTGAGGGAGGGCTTGTTTACCTAGGTCCGTCCGACGTCAGCAAGGTTTCGGCCTTTTCTGCTGTATTTGCCGCTCCCCAGAGACCTATTAGGGCACTGGTGTGAAAAGCCCCCTGTATGTACACAGTCAATGCTGGTTAAGCCCCTCTGAGCTCCACCAGCCTAGTTCACAGCTGCTTTAGCTCCATTTGTCCTAGTTGATGTTTAATCTTTTATTAGGAATCAAAGAAAAAAAGTTTAGCTTTCAGATTTGTATTAATTTTACTGATATTTAAAAGTTTTGCTTCAGAAAATGTAAAGTGTTGGTGTTTTCCAACACTTTAGGTAGTTTTTTTTTTTTTTTTTTTAAAGCTTAAAGTTTATATTTTCTCTTTATTGAGCTTATTTGATGCTCCAGCATGACCTTTATAAGTTTTATCACGCTCATCTGATTTATGTGTAACTCTGAGCCAGGCAGCAGGTAGCATGAATGTGCTACTCCCGACACTGCAGGCCAGCAGTCGGTAGAGAAATGCCACACAGCTAAGCTCTGGATTCCAGACCACTGCGAAATGTTACTAGGTACTGCGATTTTAGTGCACCCCCCCACCACCACCCCTCTTATATACACCACAGCACAGTAAATAAATGACAGCAGGCCACCCCCCCATACTCCTTGCATCATACTACACAGAGGAGCGATTCACCCAGCGGTCAGCCACCTCTGCTCGTGTGAGCACAGTAAATAACGGTGGTGACACATTTTTCATTCTCTCCCAGGTGGAAGATTTAGATACGGAGTAGCGAGTGCTACGTGTGCGGGTGAATGAGCGGTGCTAATGCATGGGGTTTGTGTGTGTGTGTGTGTACAGTCAGTAGTGTCTGGAGGTTGGGCTGAGCATGTTTGCTCAGAGAGTGTTTGCTCTGTGTGTGAAGCTCATTACAGCCCTTGGCTCCCAGGTCAGTCCTTGCTCGCTTGACAGAGCCGTGACCTCTTTATGTTTGACATGAAAATAAGTCGGTTTCTGTGGCTGAGTCTGTATGTTTGTAAATCCCCCCGAGTATTGCACAATCTGTACATCAGCTGGGCCTTTGCTCCCCATCTGAAGTGTAGAAAGATACTTGTAAGCATGAAGAAAAAAGAGTTCAGTCTCTGATTTTTCTGTCTGCCGTTCGTACAAGAAGGTATGTGAGAAAGGCAGCTTGGGAGAAAGTGCTGATGGCACACTGGCAGGCTTCCCAGCAGTGACTGTGGCATTGGTGTCCTCAACGCTGTAATTTATGGTGACTGTGGTTCTGTCCTCGCCTGGGCAGATGCAAAACGCAGCGTCTAGGACCAGTAATATCCTCTAGCTGTAAACCTGAGAATCAGAAACCATCCAGGGAGAGCTGCAGAGGGAGCGTGAGAAAAAAAGCAGTTAAGCATGCTCATTACAGACAGTCTTTTCCTTTTTTCTTCATTTCCTCCTTGTACTTTTCTTCCTCTCCAGCTCACATGGTTGCTTTTAATTATATATAATGCTATCTCAGAGCTCTTCTGCAATTTGTGTAAGAATTTCTGGGGCATTTTTTTGGTTCCCACTGTATGATCATGTAGAACAGTGCAACTCCCAAATGCTCAATGTAGGATTCTGCCCTTCAACTATTCCCTTCCTGACCCGACCTCACCTCAATCTAATATTTTAACAAGACTTTTGCAGTTGAGGTTGATGTTGTCAAAACTGATGTTTCAGGCGCAGATGGAAAATTGATAGAGAAAGGCTCCCACTCCGGCATGATCAACCCCAGCCCGCATTGGCAGAAGCTGACTCACAATGGCCCCGTGGCCCAGTTCGAGTACCAGATCCGGGTCAGCTGCGATGAGCACTACTACGGCTTCGGCTGCAACAAGTTTTGTCGGCCACGGGATGACTTCTTCGGGCATTACACATGCGACTACAATGGAAACAAGACCTGTCTGGAAGGCTGGTCTGGACCTGACTGCAACACAGGTGAGGCCCTGCTGTGGTGGCAGATCAGCCTCAGACAGTCTGATTAGTATATACATGAGTCTGACTGTGAGCTGTGATTCATGATACACTGTCTGTTGTGTGTTTTGAATTCCCACTGCATTTGCCTGTTTCCTTTTCTGTTCAAATAAAGCTTTTCATAGACTGTATGACTAGGGAAAAAAAGAATTCTCAGGAACTCAGCCTGGGTAACTTCTTATTAAATATTTTACTGTGTTATATGACAGGGCCGGCTTATTTTTTTGTTGTCAGCTGTCTTTATTCTCACAGACTGAAATGTCATAGAGGGTAGTAATTATTATATCGTTTACTGCTGTAATTAAATTGGAGCTAAATTTGAATATAGCTACCAGGCAAATTCAGGCAACTCTTCTTCTCTCTCTTGCAGCTATATGTCGACAAGGCTGCAGCACTGAACATGGATCATGTAAGGAGCCAGGTGGATGCAAGTAAGTGACAGAGGCTGCTCTGGCTTTTTACTGTATGTGAAATGTCAAGCACACACATACTTACTCTGGAGGCTGTGGTGTGGATCATTGGGATATGTAGGGAATGAGCACCGGTTCTCTCACGACATGGATCGCTCCCTGTACGTGCTCCATTTCCTGGCCAAGAGACTATCAGTACACAGGCTTTAGCAGAAACGCAGACTGAGCTGCTTGTAAATCTCTTGTGGAGCTTTTACCCGAAGCTGCCACTCTGTAGAAAGGAGCGTCTCCACTGCCAAGACTCCATGTTGGAAATGTAGCCTATGTGTTTCCCCCTAACGACTGGGAAGTGTTATCAGTCAAATCGCGTGTAACATTTGGATGAGCCTTAAAGTGAATTGTTTGTGTAGCTAATGGCTTCCTAATGCTGTTTATGCACACAGCCAGAGGAAAAGCCAGGCGCAGATGGATATCAGAGCTTGGGCATTGTGTGCAGTCACAGTTGTATCTCAGCCTCATCCTGGAGGAGGCCCTGCATTACCCAACTCTTTCCACAGCTCATGCGCTGGTTGCTTTCTTAGTTGTCTGATTTGGCCATGAATCAAGCACAGGGACGATCAGGTTTGTTTTTTTTGTTTTTTTTTCTTTGTGCACCAGCTTTGTTATTTTTCCCAAGCTTTTGACATCATCAGGTTTCTTGTAAGTGCTTGTGTGGCCACTGGCAGAACAACAGGTTGAATCGCTTTAGTCTCTGCACAGGTGTGGCTATATTTAAAGCTCTGGGTTGAACTGTTTATGTTCACTCTGCCAACAAACTCTCCAAGCAAGCTCTACTGCTGTTGTAGCGAGCAGTTTTCCCATCATTGAGCTGTTGAGCAGTGTTGAACAACAGTAGTACATAGCAACATTGGCTGCAGGCGAGGGGCAGCCTGTGTCACTGATTTTATGTCAGCGGAGCCTCGGCCAATGACGCTCTGTGTGATTTCCTTTTAGCAAGGGTTTTAATGATACCTGCAGATTTCATTATTACTAATACACTAACATCAAACAGTGCACCCGTGGACCAAGATTGACTCGATAGAAAACGAGTTTGAAAATCATTAACTGTGCAGCCACAACCTGCAGGTTATTAAGAGGGTTTTTTTTATCTTAGAAATCATCTCTGTATCAACAGTGCTGTACAATGTAATGTCACATTCTGCAGTAATTTGGCTGCGTGATGATAAATGATTTGGGATCTTGCTGGGGAGTCCTGCTCCGCTTCTCATGGAGCGGATTAGCACACGTTTAAGAATAGCCTCTTTAATCACAGACTGAAGTTTACTTAACCACCGCGTTTATTTTTACAGTCCATCCGTTTCTTGGGGCTAATCAGTGCACCGCTCCCCCAGAGGGATACTTTGTTTCCTGTCACTTGGCTCCACAGCGGCGACTGTATCACCACTTCACCACCTTTTAAAGAGCAGACTTATCAGTCAGCCTGGATTGCCGTCTCAATTATGAAGCCCAGGAACTAAAGGGCAGCATTATCAGTGTAATTATGGACCTAGACATCTCAGTGGCCAGCAGGCTGTGTTCCCCTCCTCAGCCTCTGGGCGCGGGCCGGACTCTTGACTCATGGGAACGAGGATGAGCAGCAGAGAAGAGGGCTGAACACTCATCCCTGCAAAGATGTCGTCACTGCCAAGCCACAGGCAGAGTGTTGTTAAAGGGAGCGTCTGGCCGCATGCTAATGTTAGCCGTGCTAAAGGTCCCATTGGAACTGTAATTTAGTGCTTTGTTTTTTTCTGTTTGGTGAAATGTTAAATGCTCCTCTGTTTGCCTGTCCCCAAGTATTGTTAAAAAGCTCTTGCATAAACACCCTGCTACTTAAGATTCATTTGTGGTCTTTTAAGAGGCAGCCCAGTTGTGAGAGCAAGAATACTGCCTCTTTGTTTGTTTCACCACGCTCTGTACGCTGATGTGTACTTCATTAAGTTCAGATTATCGCTGTACTTCTTGTGAAGGAATTTGGAATAAACAAAAGATTAAGATATTAGCATTTTCAGATACCGCTGGGATTATCTGATGTGGCTGTGCTCAGTATTTGTATATGCATGTATGTAGATTAATTATTTTAGATTTTTTGACTTTTCTGAAGCTGATGACTTGACTCTGTGTCTTGCAGGTGTCTGTATGGATGGCAGGGCCAGTATTGTGACAAGTGCATCCCCCACCCAGGATGTGTTCATGGCACCTGTGTGGAGCCCTGGCAGTGCCTGTGTGACACCAACTGGGGCGGCCACCTTTGCGACAAAGGTTCATTCCTCGTCTCTTCATTCAGTTGCTGTGGGAGTGGCCTGTGTTGTGTCAGAACTAATAACTAACGCTGTGTTAAATGTGACTCTCCTCAGATCTGAACTACTGTGGAACTCATCAGCCATGCTTGAACGGAGGGACGTGTATCAACACGGGACCTGACAAGTACCAGTGTACCTGCGCTGATGGTTACTCTGGTGCCAACTGTGAGAGAGGTGAGTGTCAGTGATGCACTGCAAGAAACTTATAGTTCCCTTATTTCTTGCTAGGTAATTGCAAGTGAGCTTTCAAAGAATTTGACTTGTACAGGGAAAACCATCTTCTATCCTTCATTGAGATTCTCTGAATTAAAAATTTAAATCTTTACAAGTTATGAAGTGGAGTTGCTGTTTCAAATGCTTAACCAGGTGTGTAGGGTCAGGCCCAAGATGCAATTGAGCTGCATTATGGGTAAAATGGGACATGATGACTAAAGGGATTTAAATCAGGATATCTTGGCTGCTGTGTTTAATCCGTCTATCACAAGCCCCCAAAGTTGTGCAAGTGAAATCCTAAACAAAATATCTGATCTAAAAACTTTGCAGTTATAATCGGAGCTAAGATTGTGGTCTCGTTCAGTCTGCAGACCAAAGGTCAGAGGTGCCTTCGGTTTGTAATCAGAGGAGGTGGCAATAATTAGTTTCCACTCCAGCACGAGTGGCCCCCACATCAGGTAAACCACCAGTCTGGGCCTCAGTGGCCACTCGTCCCTTCACTCCTCAGCCACTCCAGACATATGGGTGTGGTGCTAAGGTTCAGCTGCTGCGAACACTTACCAAGGAGATGATGTTTTTTTTCCTCATTAAATCCGAGCCTCGAAGGGTGCTGACAGCTTAACTGCGGAGATGTCAGGAAACCGTGCCCTTCGTAACAGGAGGTCCGCAGCCTAGGGGGGATACGTCAGGCCATTGTAGCACAGAGGCCCCGCGGTGCACCACCACATCCTCTCACCTCCCTCCTCCCCCCGGCATACCAAGAGCCATCCACTGATCACCTCCAACTGCCTATTTATTCCCCTGAGTGAATTATTCATTTTGGATTCATTTGGGACCCACTCATCCTTAACTCGTCCTTAAAGGGAGGAACTGCAGTGCTGAGCTTGCCCCCACCATCCTCCCTCACCCTCCCTCCCGCCACTCTCTCATCTTGTGCCGCCTCTCAGAAGAAGAATGGCGGGGAGTCAGAGGGAAGTCACGGTGCGTTGGCCAGGTCAACTTAGCATTAAGATGATTTCCTGGTGGTGTGGTCTGCCGGGCGGGTAATGGGAGTGAGATGGGGGGGCTTTGGGGGCAGGGAGGGAGGAAAAGGAGGGGGGAGTAGGTGATGGGTGAAGGAAGGAGTCGACCCCTGGGTGTCTGCTGCTGACAGAGTCGTCCCGGAGCAGAGGAGTGAGAGGTTTTCTAGGGCTAAGAGTCAGAGGCTGAAATGCATTTTTACATCTGATTAGTTTTATTAGGAAGATGATGGCAAATGTTCGACCTGGCAGCTGCAATAGCAGACGTACAACAATCTTAATATCTGCCAAAAAAGGTAAAGGTTATTCAACAAAAGTAAAAATTGGTGATTTAAAGTTTCACAAAGTGACAAAATGAGTACTGAAGGGTGGAATTTTCCTTCTTAAAATGACTCACAGGGGTGTGTGTGTGACCTGTTCACAAAACTGTCCTCCTTTCTCCTCCTAGCGGAACATGCCTGTCTATCCAATCCATGCTCTAATGGAGGGAGCTGCTCAGAAACCAGTCAAGGCTACGAATGTCAGTGTGCGCTCGGCTGGAGCGGCCCCTCCTGCACCATCAGTGAGATTGAACTCAGCCTGCACCCATCGAATATGAGCACTCTTATAGGAAATATCATGCGGGGTAACCAGATTTTGATTCTCTTGTACAGATGTTGACGACTGCTCTCCAAACCCCTGTAACCATGGAGGCACCTGCCAGGACCAGGTCAATGGTTTCAAATGTCACTGTCCCTCTCAGTGGACAGGGAAGACATGTTTGATTGGTGAGCCACCTGAGCCCTTTCCACCACTTCACGCCTGTCAACTGCACATGCATCTAACCCCCTTCTCTCCCTGTCCAGATGCCAACGAATGCGATAGCAAGCCCTGCGTCAATGCCAACTCGTGCCGCAACCTGATTGGCGGGTACTTCTGCGAGTGCGTCCCTGGTTGGACAGGGCAGAACTGCGACATCAGTGAGTTGAAGGCTGTCAGCAGCAGCTGTGGAATGGGACACCTGTCCAACTCCTGCCCCCTTTTTCTTTCTTTCAGTCTTTCTTTTTTTCCTTTCCTGTCCTTTCAGCCTGAATTAAAGCTGTAACATGAAAAAGCATAAAAGCCAAAAGTTGGACGAGTGCAGCCTTTCCCTGCAGTATGAAACTGCCGTATTATTATTAGCCCCGTGTGTGGCCAAGGCTGTGGTGATTAGAGGTGGCTCAAAACAATCCCAGCACTAGTTTCACTTGGCAGCAGACGGGATTGCTCAATACTCCATGTTGCACTGATTCTGCAGCCCCGTTATCCAACTCTTGCAGAGTGCTCTCTAGCTCCGACAATGTTTTTAAAGGCCCCTAGCATGGGAAACATAAAGCACAGACTTGTTTTCAAAGACAGACTATTTAGTCAAGCTGTTCAGAATTAATCCTCAGATTTGTTTTCTTGTGCAGATATAAACGACTGCAAGGACCAGTGCCAGAATGGAGGAACTTGCAAGGTACGTGTAGGGTCAAAAACATGACTATCTCTTTATCTAGTATCACTACTCTGTTTGCCAGCTTGTTTTATTGTTTTTTTTACATTTTTTTCCGGGGTTACAGCCTGAGACATTCACAGCGGTTTTATAAATAGCTGCAATAAAGTGTTCTCTCCAAAAGGACAGAAGAATTGTTGTGGAATTCCTCTCTGAAATCAAATCTGAGGGGAGTAGGTTCAGAGGGGTTTCTGAGGGAGGGACACACAAGTTCCTTGACCACACTAGATTGAATTACCACAAACATAATTGTGTTGAGTTGGTGCCAGGAAAATGTGTTGAAATAAATGCGGAGCTGTGATAATTTTCCTCCAAAACTTGTTGCAGCCCCCACCTCCCTCTCTGCCTCGCTCTGTTCTGTTCCCTGGTTTGACAGTTATTGTTTTGGGACCCCACCCTGTCGAAGCTGTTAATGAAACTTGGAGTAGGTGCGCAAGGTTAACCCCTATTTCTGCATCCTCAGGACTTGGTGAACGGGTATCGTTGCGTGTGCCCCCCTGGCTTCGCCGGTGAGCACTGTGAGAGAGACATAGACGAGTGCGGGAGCTCGCCGTGTCTGAACGGCGGCCACTGTCAGGACGAAGTGAATGGCTTCCAGTGTCTGTGTCTGGCTGGCTTCTCAGGAAATCTCTGCCAGGTGAGACACAACTTCCACCATCCCGCACACATGCACGCATCCTCCTCGCTATCGTTTCTCATCTTAAGCCCCTACACCCCCCTACCCCCCCCCCCCCCTCTCTGCAAGCATTGCTGTATCTTTGAGTTCGTTGTAAAGTTTTCCTGCCCCACCCTTTTAAATGGCTGTTGTTCCACAGTCCTTCTTAAAAGGGAGTGCTTTGTTGAAGCTGCTCCTGGCTACAGCGGGATACATTCCTCGGCGCTGAAGCCCAGACTCAGAGGACGGCTCCTATGTCTCTGCCTTGTTTTTCCCCTTCCCTCAAAGCGCTGTGCGTGTGTTATTTCCTGGCACAGCCTGTAGGGAGGATGCTGTGGGTTTTACTCTGTTTAGTGTAGCAGAAACTATGTCAGCTATCAGGTTCACTGCTTTCTATTCAATACCTTTCTGCCCTAGCTGGATATCGATTACTGCCTGCCCAACCCGTGTCAGAATGGAGCGCCCTGCTTTAACCTGGCCACAGACTACTACTGCGCATGCCCCGAGGACTACGAGGGCAAAAACTGCTCCCACCTCAAAGACCACTGTCGCACCACCACGTGTAAAGGTACGTCTCCTGCAGGCAGCGACCACAAGCTTTTTGCTCTTTGACTCTTTCCAGAACATTTCTGAAAAGTGATCTGCATAGCGTGCTGCAGTAAAGTGCTGAATAAGGCCAGGCCGTCACTATTTGCCGGAGCACTCTGCCCACATTTTTCCCACGAGGCCAATTCTTATATTTTAGTTTTGTGCTCTGAAGTTTCTTGGCAAAGGTGAGCAGTTATTTTTCTTTGGTGTAGATTCCTTGATGATTACCCCCCCCTCCATCTCCTCGGTAAAGCTTTTCCAATGATTCTCCCCTCCTCTGAGTTCGTTGAATATCTGGCAGAAGGCTCTGTGACTGTGTGTGTTCTTGGTAATGACTTGGTGGGCTCCCTCTTTTTTTCCTCCTCAATGAATGTGCACATTTTTCTGTGTGAGCATGTGTAATTGAGTGAGTGGACCAACCACGGAGTCAGATAGCAGACGGTGGGATTCTCTGTGCTCTTGGCAAGAATTAAATGATTACAGGGAAGCGGATTCACCCCCGCTACTCCTAACCTGATCAGACAGGGTGAAAGGAAGGGATTTCAGTGCAGAGTGTCAAAGATCACTCTGAGTTGCTTATGAAAGCATAACAGCTTATCGCTCTCTCAGTGTTTTTTCCACATTCCTACAGTGATACTATTTTCCTGAGGGGCTAAGAATCAATCAATATCTACAAGACCTCTTACTTGTTCATCATTCCGCTCTGTCACCTGTTGGTTATATTTTATTTAGTATAGACTAATGGATGGTTATATAACTCTCACTCTTTTGAATATCACCTGGAAGACACAAACTGCATTTTAGGATTTGGAACAAGCTTTTGTTCAAACAGGCTTTGCCAGTTGTTTGACTGTGTAACTGCCTTGACTCTCCGCAGTGATCGACAGCTGCACAGTGGCTGTGGCATCCAACAGCACACCGGGAGGAGAGCGTTACATTTCATCGAATGTGTGTGGACCTCATGGCCGTTGCCGGAGTCAGGCTGGAGGCCAGTTCAGCTGCGAATGCCAAGAGGGCTTCAGAGGCACCTACTGTCACGAGAGTAAGATTACGATATGCAACACAAAAGCACAACTCAAAGGGATTTATCTGAGACATGCTCAATCAAACTATCCCATTTTAAAAACATTTCAGATATCAATGACTGCGAGAGTAACCCATGCCGCAACGGCGGCACCTGCATCGACAAAGTCAGCGTGTACCAGTGCATTTGCGGCGACGGCTGGGAGGGCGACCACTGCGAGATCAGTGAGTAGTACTGCTTGTTCTGTGATGTCAAAACAAAGCAGCACCTCGTGGGATTGTTAAATCCATGTCTCAACAAAAAGTCTGTTTGATGTGCTGCACATAAATCAACCTCCCGTCCGATGTCTCCACCAGACATCGATGACTGCAGCACCAACCCCTGTCATAATGGAGGGACATGTCGAGACCTGGTGACTGACTTCTTCTGCGAGTGTAAGAATGGCTGGAAGGGAAAGACGTGCCACTCCCGTAAGAGCCCTTTTTTTTTGTTATTCCACACCCATAGTCTGTCTGTGCAGGCTGATGGTATGTGTTTAATGCTGTATATAATTACTCCTATACATTGTGTATTTTTTCAGTCTCATGTGGGTGTACATCTGAAACAACCCTAAGATTTGAAATGTTCCCTCCAGGTGAAAGTCAGTGTGATGAAGCCACATGCAATAATGGTGGCACCTGCCATGACGAGGGAAACACATTCCAGTGCAAGTGTTCTCCTGGGTGGGAGGGTGCGACGTGTAACATAGGTAAGTCACACAGTCAGGCCAGCTTAGTTAAATGTTCCATAT